TGACGCGCGAGAGTATCGCCAATGGAAGAGGAATCGTTGGCGTGATTTCGTGTAGATTATTAGAGATGTAATATCTCTGTTGCTTGGGGCAACGTTACACACCCGACCTCCTTGTAAATAATCATCAGAGAATGTTAACTTAGAGCACTATGGCTGGTGTCGGTGTTGTTTAGGGCATTTTGACTGCGGTGCTGGGCGCGTTTCTAGGACAGGGCAGAGACCCCGATCAGGTTGCTGTCATGGCTAAAAACGCTTCTGAGGTTAGTACCTGCTCGAACACACATTGTACATGAATGATTTCACCCCCTCTCTCTTGCTCACTGTTTCGTCGAATATCAATTCATCCACACATTTCTCTAAACAAACAAACGTGGAAGACAGAGTTGAACCAAAAATTGATCATCACTGTACTGTAACGAAGATTTTACTATACATACTTTTATATATTTTTTATGCCTGTGAATCTTCTTCTTTATTTCTCTTCACTGAAATTGATAATTCGACGAAGCGTCGACGAGCCCATCAGAAAGTAAAATAAAAATACGCTTCCCAAATGTAGTAGAACAATGCTTTTCGCTCTCCGTCGTTTCTCAAAACATTTCCTACAGACGTCCATTTAATAGTCCAATTCTCTCGAAACAGTTCATTAGCATAGTGATCAATCTGCTGGACGCGTTGAAGACCTCGTTCTCTCATCGTTCCATGGCGGCCAGGTCGATGGGAAGACGGGACACCGTCTCGGAAGCTGCTGTCGCTTCCATTTCAATGCTCAAGGTACTTGATGATACATAATAGTTTACGTACACTTGATTTATCTTGAAATTAATTAATTTATCTTTTAGTAATTGTGCTCATATTATGTTGATACATTGTATTAAACTATATTATATTATGTATATGTATGTTGTATTAAAGTTGATATATTGTATTAAAGTATATTAATATATAATAAGTATTTAAAGTATATATTATGTTGATATATTGTATTAAAGTATATCAATA